TGATGTATAAATCTCAATTTCACACAATTGACCCTTATGCCTGGTTTTGTGCTCCAGGGTCACAAATGTCATTGGTTCTCGTGCAACTCACATCTGACCACAGCTATCTTTAAGTTTTAATATGTAGAATTTCTAAATTCTATTTGAGACCTACATTAGATACAACACCATTACCATTGTGTCCCTGGTCCATTTAGACTTTAAATTTCAGTCTGTTCCTCACAAGCATCATCATAGGACTTGAGAAGACTTCAGAAAAAGAAAAAAATCATACGGACTATGGTGCTTTTCAGATTCTTGACACGGTCTGTCTCTATTCATGCTCATTGTATTGAAAATGGAGGCATGAGCATTGTGCTTAATATCTTTTGTAGCGATGCACATGAAAGCATAAAGTGTTCAATCACCCAATTATCCAAATTGAATTAGCAAAACATTCCGTAAAAGCTGAAACAACAAAAATCACTAATTGCATCAATCTTTTGTGTTCCATGGAAGAAAGCCATAAAGGTTCGGAATGACATGAGAGTGAGCAAATGATTAATTTGAATATCAATTGATGACAATTTGATTTGATGGCATCAGGTGAGAACAAAATTTGGTCTAAATTAAGCTCAGTAATGACACTATTGCTGCTTTAATTGAATGTTTCATTACTGATGAATTTTACACTTGACAATTTTTACATCAGTATTGTAGAAAGCGCTGTAGAAATAAAGGTGACTTGACTCTCAATGTGTTTCCCTGCAGCTGCTGAGCCTGTACAACACACTGAACCCCGAGGCGTCCGCTTCCCCCTGCTGCGTTCCTCAAGACCTCGAGCCGCTCACCATCCTCTACTACGTGGGCCGAACGCCTAAAGTGGAGCAGCTCTCCAACATGATCGTCAAATCCTGCAAGTGCAGCTGAGGGGCCCCGAGACCCCAGCCCTGAGCCCGACGCGGGTCCCAGCGCTCGAGGGCCAACAGGAAGGGTGCGTGCCAGGAACTGGACTCTAAATGAATACCTCCGTACATCCTTCTCACCCACATCCAACCCGGGAGCCAGAGGCTTCTCTAAGCACTAGAAAGTTGCGTTCCAAGACGACTACGCTGCCCCACGATCCCTCGGACTTCTAGTTTGACGTTTGAAGTGACTTGTCCACTTGTAATGTGTAATTTTTGGTCGGGTCTTTACCTGCGAACCTCATGGGCATTTGTGAACTCTGACCTTCGTAACATCTACAGAAGCGGCTTCACTGAGGACGACACACGTGCTGGATCGACATACACCGACCGAACGAGAGCAGACGTTAGCCAATCCTTGTGTTTTTGTATAACGATGTTCTAACATAACTCATTTGAGCACGGCATTTCCCCGACCGAACTTTGTAACGCAGTAATCGACACGGTCTGTCTAACGTGACGGTGTTAATGTTAATACAAACATGCTGGAAAGAAATCTTTTGACTAATGTTTACCTCTGTCACTCGGCAGAAGTTTTAGGGATTTGTATAGTTCTTCAATGAAGCTGACGTCTGGAAACACATGAACTTTTAGATCACAATCTGCTAATGTTTTTACCACTATTACTCCTGAAAACACTTTTTTAATTAAACAGTCTTGGACGAAAAGAGTTTGTCATGAGTTTCAGAGAATCCACATCATCTCGACTATTATAAAGAGTGAACACACAAGAGTAGCAAATGCTGATTGCATAGCTTGCTTTAACAACCTATTTTTTTTCTTAAAACAGAAGTAATCACAAAAAGTAGCTGAAATTTCTTTCAGTTTACGGATACAAATGAATGCTAAACAGGTACTGTAGCATAAACGCACAAATCATTTGTTACATGTTTTTAAAGGTCAATCAAGTTTCACGACTCACATCTTGATGCATAACATCGGAGGATATTCAAGTAAACTCAGGAGAGAAAATGCAATAGAAATACTGTACAAACTAAAACATTAAATACTGAGAATAAAACTATGTTGCATTAAGACAATCTTGCATAATCGGCCTCATTCATGAAACGCAAAATGAATTCATGGAAATTGTTGTTACATCAACATTTCATTCAATTCAATGCAACAGTCTAGGTAAGAAGTGTGTTCTGTTCCTGCTGCATGAATGAGGCCCTGTCATTCATTCATTTTTGGCCAGGTACTTAAAAGGGAAGCGTTAAACTAAAATCAAACTAAAAAAACAATGTCATCCCTTCAGCACAGCAGAGTTGATCACGGTGCATCAAGTATTACCAGGACATTGGTCAAAAATGGTCAAGTCTTTAGTTGCACAAGAAACTCATCGCAGGTGTGGATTCTAGAGCTGCTCCAGCAGTTCCTCACACCTGAATGAGGCACTTGAGCAGAAGTTGCTAGCGATCATTAGCAAGCAGTGCTGAAAGCTCTTTACTCAGGAGTCTACATCTTCTATCTGTACATGTAAACATGGATAAGCGTGATGGGTGCTCTCGTCTGTTGCTGTGCGTTTCGCTCCATGTGCTCGTGTCGCAGCTGTTGCGAGCCGTCAGTCCGTGCGCCCTTCACATGGCATCAGATGTGGGGTGAAAATGAAGCCTGGACAACTGCGCATATGGGAGAGGCAGGACGCCTTCAGACTGTGGAACCGATCCAATCAACGCGAAGGATTTCACGTACAATCACACACACTCAGAAAACACACACATAAGGCCAGTTAGGAGGGAAATATTGATTATTAGAAAACTCCATATTGACAGTCATGAGGTGTCTGTGTTTTGAGCAGGACGTGGATCTCAAGATGTAAAGCAATACCAGAGAGCAGCTGATTGGTACGGCTGACCTTTGGCCTCATTCATCTGTTCCTGGAGCCCTGAGTGTGGAAGAGTTTACTGTACACTGACAGACCTGTGAACACACACACACACACACGTATGAGATGTAATTGAAGTTCAATCTGATTGTAGTTCTGAGCTGGAAACTAAATGATAAAACTCTAAAAGAGTCGATGATTATCTTCACATACACCATGATAAATTCCAGGGGGTTTATTTTGATTTAAACCCTCAAATCCAATAGTGTTTTAAGGGAAGATGTTTCAGAACAGCTTTTCTATTGCCAGCTTGCATCATTTCAAAGGTGTTTTCAATCTATGGAATAAAAATGATACTTTTTTGCAATGTTTGACACTTTTTAGTCGTACAAATAATCAACCATCACCACTTTTCACTGCATGTTTTTTGGTCACACTTTAGTTTGGGGACTATTTCTCACTGTTAACTATTAACTATGACTTTTGCTTCAATAAACTCCTAACTTGCTGCTTATTAATAGTTAGTAAGGCAGTTGTTAAGTTTAGGTATGGGGTAGAGATTAATGGATCTAAAATATGATCATACAGAATAAGGCATTAATATGTGTTTTAGAAGTACTAATAAACAGCCAATATATTAGTAATAGGCATGCTATTACACACACACACACACAATAAGCAACTAATTAATAGTGAGAATTGGTTCCTAAACTAAAGTGTTAGCATTTTTTAATCTTATAACAGCAGACAATGTTTTAAGTGACCCTCTTAACACACAAAGAACAAAAAATTCAATTCTTGTGCTTTTTTCTGCTTTTTGGCAGTAAAACCATATGGCTGAAGCTTGGATACACCAAAAAAACCGGTGCAGATTTTCAGAGCCAGTGACCTTTCTAAACATGTCTGATTGGTTACACGTGCGACTGGTTATAATGATCAACACTGTAAAAAACAACACGTTAAAACACATCTTTGACAAATGCAGATGTAATATAATGCCACAATTGACACTTTTCATTCATTTTTCACATTTCACTTTAATCACAACGATCACAATCGATTTAGTTTAATTGTGCAGGGTCATTTCTTGCTCCCACATCACGAAAAGAATGCATGTCACACCTCTGTTCATCAATTTGCACTGGCTACCAATAGCTGCTCGCATAAAATTCAAGGCATTAATGTTTGCCTACAAAACCACCACTGGCTCTGCAGCCCTTTACCTAAATTCATTACTTCAGAATTATGTGCCTCTAGAAGCTTGCGTTCTGCAAGTGAACGTCGCTTTATTGTTCATCCCAAAGAGGCACAAAATCACTTTCACAGACTTTTACATGAACTGTTCCCTCCTGGTGGAATAACCTGCCCAACTCAATCCGAGCAGCTGAGTCCTTAACCATCTTCAAGCATCGACTTAAAAACACATCTGTTCCACCTTTATTTGACCCTCTAACTCTAGCACTCTCTATTCTAATTCTATTCTTTAAAAAACAAACAAACTTGCCCCTTTTAGACTTGCACTCTATTCATTTATTAACTGCCTGTTTTCTTAAAAAAAATAATTCTCTAATCTTTTTGTTTTCTTTTTATTTATTATACAATTAACAAAAGCAAAAAAAAA